ACAGACTCACAGCTGTTTATGAAGACAAGCCAATAAATCTAGAGGAATATATTTATATAACTCATCCTGAGATTACATAGTTAAATTCCATTTTTTCAGATAGACAGAGCTCCTTAATAGACAGAGCTCCTTTGCAAGGGAACCAAGTTCCTCTCTGTGCCACCCAGATCTGTTGATTTGCCATTAATGTCAGCTCTTGTCAGCTGTACTGAGTGCTACAAGTCACATTGCAGAATACTTTATATACATTAAAGGAGTAAGTACTCTGCCATTTCCCTGTCCTGCCTTTTGGCTGGCGTTAAGTGATCCATGTAGAAGTCAAAAGGTGAGGAGCAGTTCTGGTGGCTTTTCCTTTCATAAATCCTGCCATTTGCCAATGGCAAATCCAGGTACAGTTCTCATAAAGATGTCTTCTAATTCTGTAGCAACATACGGAGAGGTTGTCATACACATGAGTCTGAAAACTTGTTGCAGCACTGATTGCCTTTTCCATAGCAAACAGCAAACTTTTTCAACTGATCAGACAGACTAAGCTTTCAGTTATTGATCCTTTGGTTAAATCTCCCTGATACATGGAATAATTTATATGAAGGAAGAGCAAGCAAGAGGGAACCATGCAAAGCTAGAAATCATCATCATGTATCTGAGTTAAAATCTGTGATAAATATCTCAGGAGGGGAAGGTGATGTACATTTTCTGGAGCTCCTCCTGGCCTTTTGCATTTATTTAGACTACAGGTCAGCTCTTGGATGATATTCATGTAGAAAGCAGGAGGTCCTTGACATCTGTAGCTTCCAGTAGAAGGGGACCAGCTAAGAGCAGGACTTAACAGTAGTGTTTTCTACATTAGGCGCTATAGGAGGTTTGAGGATCTCCATATCAGGAACACATGCTAATAAAATATGTGCCACATAGTAAAAACTCACCTGGGTGAAATGCTGCTCCTTCTGATATCAATGGAAATTTCCTTTTGACCAGGGGTTGCTATGGCAGCAAGCAGTGGAAATGAGAACAAGGACATTTTGATATGTCTACACTGTGGATTGCAAATTATGATACCCGAGTTAGTTTTAAACAGTCTTACAAGGAGTGGTCTAGTTAAGGCAGCCTGAAACACCACGTGGCCTAATTTACCATGCTAAGCAGTTCGCTTTCCTCTGTGCTCAGGGTATATTCATGCCCAGGGTATATTCATGGGTAGAGCAGAGGGGAAGAGGTATTTGAGGAAATGCCTCTTCTAGGGCAATGGGATAAGGAACAGACTGTGACAAGGAGTAGTCTAGGGAAGGAGAAATAACATGAGAGAAAGTAAGTTATGAAGCAAGAGGAGAAGCAGTCCGTGGAGTCAATTGAATGGAAGCAAATCCAACAGCAAGAGATGTGCGGGTTTGGGGAGCCAGGATCCAAAGGGTCTCTTCGCGTGGCAGAGTGCTTTGCTCTCCCCCTTGAAGGTCAGCTTAGGGCCCTTGTCTCTCAGCAGTTTCTTTGTTAGGAAGACACTGTCAAATCCCTGAATGAAGTATCCTCACAGTCTTCCAGTGGTTGATCCCCCCGTCAGCGCCGTTTTAGTGGAGCTGCTGCTGGCGCTGCCGGCTGAAGTGGTGGAGTCCTGTATTGCAGCTCCACAGGTGCCATCCGCCCCAGCCTCGGCAGCAATGTGGAACAGCTTCCAAGTCGACTTCTAAAGAAAACGCTGAGAAATTATACTGAAAATGCATTACTGTAATGCTAATGTTACTAAGTCAAACACTTAAAAGTTAGGAAATGCCACAGCTAATGTTGTCTGTGCAGCCTTAGGGAGGGCCCCGTGTACCATTACTATAGCTTGTAATTACATGACTGCACACTGTTTCTTTGGTGAATACCTGCATAAGGTGGTCAGGCCCTCTGCATATTTTATTAGAAATGTAGCCCATAGCTGTTTTTCACTCTGTTGGATTATTACTTTGGTACTGACCCAGGGAAGAGACTTGTCTGTGTCACCGTGCTCTACAAAATCTCATCTGAAAATGAGTTAAGGCTTTTGATGGCGCTGTATTTCTCTGAAATCTCCTTTTCTGTTCTTTGGGACACCTACCTTCCATAATATTTGTGAAAAATGCATATTTTGGGGAGGCTGAAGAGAGAACTCCTAATTAACCTCATTAAGCCCAATGTCCCAATTGTTTCTGCAAAGCATCCCTCTCCTATTGACTGTTTAGGTCTTCTGTAAACTGTGCTGAGTCAATGGGCCCCAATGGGGCTGGTGGGCAGATGGGATGCAGCCAGCCAGCATGTAACATTTAAAAAGGTGAAAAAGGGCAGGAACCCACCTTTTCCCATAGCAGAAGTTGATAAAAGGCATCAATAATAGTGACATCTCCCATCAGCTCTCCACTAAAAGCAAAACACATAAAAGCTGGTGCCAGATTTGCCTGGAGACCGATGTCAAAAAAATTATTAAATTAATATAGAAATGTTGATAGAACTTCTGTCTTTTGTTTCTTCCTTCCTTAAGCATTTGTACCTAAAATACAGAGTGAGGGGAGAATCCCAGCACTCCCTCTGAAAGGCCAGCAGTCAGCTGCATTGTGAGTCCCTGCTCTACTTTCTTCCCATGCTTTTGAGTGGCACTGGCAGGTTAGTCATGCCCATTTAAAAGTTTATATACAGCAGATGTTCACAGAGCTGATCAGGAATTATGGATTTGCTGTTGTAGCTGCAGCCCTGTACGAAATACAGAAAATGTATTTGGAACACGGAGAATATATCTGCCTTGTGCAATAAATTCAGACATCTCCCTTGGTGCTGTTTGCTCAGGAGGGGACATCTGAGCCCCTGATGAGGGGACATTCAGTGTCCTGAAACCCAGAGCAGGTCCCTTGCATCTGACTAGGGAAAGTTCTGGTGGGGCAGGGGTGTGATGTCCAAGGGCTTAACATGCTGACAGCTCCCTCCCAGAGCAGGGTGTTATCTGCTGCCTTCCTTCTCAGAGGGAGAGGCCAACTGGCCCACACCTTTTAAGAAGCAGACTTTGCACAAGTGTCATAAATCTCTGCCTTGCCCGCTACGCAGTGCTGCCACTGCACTGGGTATCACCAGGAACCATCCATTTGAACTGTACTTCAGTTTGCAGCCCAGGGTAGAAGAAATAGATTACTTTGACACCTATTTGGGGGGATAATTTCTCCACCTCCTTGGTGCCTGAGACTTGTCTTACCCCAATACCCAGCACTGCCTTTCCACAACATCTCCCTCTGTACCCTGTCGGTGCTCGATTTGTCTGTGTTTGTGCAGACATGCATGGCAAGGATATGCTCCCGTAGCTTGTGCAGCTCCAGAATCATAACATTCCAGTGATCCATCAGGAAAATTTGACTGAAGGGCAGCATGGGCTTGCTTTAAGCAAGCCAAGGTAGCAGGCAAACCTGCACTCCCTTCCCCACCCTGCAGGACAGGTAGTCTTTGAAGACTGTGGGAAGGTGCAGGTGGTTTTTTTTGGCAAAAGCTGCAGTGGTGATAAAAAAGAGAGGGAAGGGATCTCCCAGCTTTTTGGAGATGGCCTCTGTATAATGCCATTTGAATCTTACTTTTTGTTTAGTGGTAAGTTTTAATAGTTATCCTTTGAGGATTTTCCCTGCGAGCTTATCTGAATACACCAACAGTCTTTTTTGTAATATTCGCATTTCCCCTTTGGTTCAGCCGAGCCCACTGACAGATCATTCAAATTCAATTGTTTTATGTCTAAGCCGAACAGCTAATTAAAGTAGGGATGATTAACCTGACTGGCAGTGTCGCTCTCTCTCCCTCGCTCTCTCGCTCCCTCCCTCCCTCCCTCCCTCCTGTTCCAATCAGTCTTTTTCTCACACTCTCCCTCTCTCTCCATCTCTCTCTCTCTCTCTGTCTTTTGCTCTACTCTCTGTGTGTGTGTGTGTGTGTGTGTGTGTGTGTGTGTGTGGGTTTTTTTTTTCCTCTCTCCTAAACGTGGTCTGCTTGCTGATGGCAGAATGGCACTCGGAGATTTGTGCATTGTGTCTGGTTTCCTACGGGCAGGCTGACCCAGTGCCTCTAGGGACTTATCAATAGACCACTCAGAAAGAGAGAGAGAGAGAGAGAGAGAGAGAGAGAATCAATATCAAGAATAGAAGGAGCTCCGAAGCCATTTTTTTTTTTTTTTAAAGAAGTATCAGGACTTGGGAAGAGGGTGACAAAGAAGGTTTTTCAAAGAGGCAGTGGAGGAGGTTCTAATAAATTTGGAAGGAAACAGTTCCCTGTCTTGGGAAAAAAGGAGAACTCCTGGCTGATTAGCATTCACACCAGGTATGAGATGTTCCCTACCCCTTATCACTGCCGCAACCGAGATGGAAAAAAGCGCTTTACCACCCCCCCCTTTTTTTTTTCGGTTGTTTGTTTTTGGTTGTTTTTTTTTTTTTTCTTCCCTTCTTTCCCCCCACCCCCTCAGCCGTCTCTGCTCTTTAAGTAGATGGAGCGAGCGTTTATTTTGGTACGTTGGTTGGTGGTGGCAGGGGGAGTGCGAGCTGTGGGCATTTGTGTGCTGGGAGCAGGGAGAATGGAAGCAGGGCAGCGGGGAGGGGGCGGCTGGGAGAAGAGCCGGGAGTGTGTTACTGTGTCTCCTCTTTGTGCACCCCTGGAGGGGGTTACCCAAGTTCATTTCCAGCAGGTGGATTTAGACAGGGAGTTACTTAACGCTTGACCGCCAGTTTTGAAAAAAAAGGAAAAAAAAGGGAAAAAAAAAAAAAAAGGACCTGCTTCCTATGTCTATTAAAGGAAGCTCCAATTTTTTCCCTCTCTCTCCTCTCTCTCTCTTTCCTCTCTTCCTAACCAGACAGCGGGAGGGTTTCTGGCTCCTCGCCAGCCCAAAAGCCTCTAAGTGTTTTGCACTTGTTTCAGGGAGCCCGGGGATTTTTTTTCAGCATTTTCACTAGAGAACAAAGAGTTCTTTACAAAGGAAGGGGGAGAGCGAGCTTAACGCCTGAGATATGTTTTTCTATTTTTATTAGGGATTTTTATTCCCCCTCCTAAAAAGAATGAGAGAGAAGCAAAGCACAGAATGTGTGGCAGCAACAAAATAGATTGAAAGGAAATGCAGTTCCCTTACCTCCAAATTATAATTTGGAAATAATAAGAACAGGAATGGAAGGGGGACAAGAAGAAGTGAGTTTGGTATGTCGTTCTTTTCTCCTTTTTTTAAACTCTCTCTTTAAATTCCAGTTGCTGGTTGTTTTTTTCTTTTTTTTTTTTTTTTTTTGTTTTTTTGGCATAAAAGTTATACTGCAACAGTTTCTGTTTACTTAAAAAATCAACCAACAAATTTTTACCATGAGAAAAAAAAAGGGGGAAGTGGGGTGGTTTCGGTAAAAAAAGAAGCAAATTAGTGGGAACAGAAATATTTCACTTTCTGTCACTTAGAAAAAAAGTTGGTAATGGCTTGTTGAAGCTAGGATCCTAAAATACAGATGGGGCACTAACGTCTGTGTCCACGGACCCAGCTTTCCCCTGACCATCTGTCTAAAAGTCACCTCTCATTGGCAGCTCAAATGATTAGTAGGAGCTCAGGGATTTTTTTTGTTTATTTGTTTGTTTGCTTGTTCCTCCTGTTCAGTGGGACCTTCTTTTAAATGGCTCCATTTCACCTTCTGAGTTTAGTTCTTCAATCGAGCCCCAGATTGAGGGTTTCAGGACAGACTTTCTTGCGCTGTAGATATTTTGTTCTTCTGACTGTGTTTCTTATAGATACACTCTTTGTCTATTTGTATGTGAAAAAGGCACATGTAATTTACAAGGGAATAGCGCATTACATTTAAGGAGATGTTTGATTTGAATTTTGTTGCATATAGTGTATAGCACACAGGATCTTCTCTACAGCATCTCCTGTGCAGTGGTTAGAATGTTTCAGAATATATACTGTTGCAAATTCAGTAGCTTAAGGAAGTGCTCTCTTTATCCAAATTCTGCCTTCCTTCCTATATTGATTTGTATTTTCCTGGCTTTGACAAATTGCCAATGTAAGAACAGCATCATATAGCAGAGGTACAGAAAACAAGAGAGGAAACTGCATGTTATATCCCCCCTAAAAATCCTCAGCACAGAATACACGAAACTAGATAAAATTATTAGAGAGTTACGATGCTCTTTCTGGCTGCACTACTACTACAATACCTTGACTTTTATTTTCATGCTGCAGGCTTTCCTCAGAAGAGGTTGTCTGTTACAGCTTCGTAGGGATCGCATGTGTGTTGTAACACTGCTTTTAAGCAACACCTATGCATTGTGTGAATGTACACGGGGAATTAGTCCATTTACATCTCCTCATATGATGAGGGGGAGAAAAAAATCCATCCTTGGGCTCTGCTTGCACCGCTTTAGAAATCCCAGTACCCTACAGTGGCAATACATCCTGCAGGATACAGTCCGTCCCGTGCAGAAACTGGGGAACAGGGAAACTTTCCATGGCAAGTGAAACCACCAGTTAAAACACAGTTTTGTTTTCACACCAGTATCTAAACTGGGGGCTTGCACCCCCACAGCTTCATTAACTAGGACTCTTCCTTCTCCAGACCTGCAGTGGGCACAGCTCTCCCAGCAGAAGTTGGGGACTCATCACAGGTTGAAGTCCCCCGCTCCGAGTACAGGTTCCTTTGCTGAAGGTAACCCAGGTGTTCTGCCTTTCCATGGGCAGCAGCAATAGTGATGCCAAGCTAAAAGTGCTTAGCATGCTCCCCAGTTTAATGTGGAACGCTTGTCCGAGAGGGATGGACCACCATAACAAATGGAAAAACTTTTGGCAAATTACAAATGCCTTTCTTTTACTTAAAATCCTTGCTTTCCTCATTCCTCCAGAGAGTTTTCCCAACTCCTGATGTTTTTCATGGTCTGAATATTTTCTGTGACTTTCCTCTCTTGCTGTGTACAAAAAAAAGAAAAAAAAATCACAGGAAAAGTAAGCAAAAGAGAGCAGAAATGGGACTTGGACTTTGAAGTTTTCCATAGGATAAGCAGTCTCGGGTTTTTTCTGCCTGAATATTTTTTCTTCTCCCCCCACCCGACCTCTCCATCCCCTCTTTATTATTTTTTTTTTTAATCTAACATGTTTTTTGTGAGAATTTTGTATCTGCAACCCTGTATCTGGTGATATACGAGAGAGGTCAGAACAGAGCTGAAACCTAGATTTAGCACCCCCAGTCTCAACTAGCAGGCATCTTCCAGTGGCTGTCACTGCATCCAGATGTAGGGAGAAGGATGATAGCTGTATTTTGGGGACTCCGTGGACCTGATCTGAGAGTAACATATTCACAGTACAGGAGAAAAGAGAGAGAGGGGGGGAAAATTTTTAGAAAATGGGGAAAGAAAAGCTCTTTGAGCAGTAACACACTGGCTCTTTCTTCCTGCAGGCAATCCGCTCCAGCTCCTGGCGACGTGTCCTGCACTATCAGATATCATATGACTCTTTATTTGGACTCCCGTTAGCAGTATGGGCCTGTTAGGAGGCTGTTTGTTTTCTTTTCCTTTCATTTCCTTCTCCTTAGTTCCCCCCCTATTTTATGTGTGCCCATGTGAGCGTATCCCCTTTTTAATCTCTCTTTTTCTGCTGAAGCTTTATAGAAAAGAAAAAAAAAAATCTTAATCATTTCCCAGGGCAGTTTTTAATCCTCTGCCAAAATTGAAGTTCATTGTTGAGTTGTAAAAATAAATAACATCTTTCGGCTTTATTTCTCTCTTTTGCTTCTTCCTGTACCCCTTCTGGCACCCCTCGGTGTGTCCGTATGTACCCGTACGTGTCTCCCTGTCTCTCCTGCCTGCGTGGGTGAAGTTGGGATACACCTGTGTCAGTCTAAGGAGGAGTACAGAGCTGCCTGCTGCTGCTCCTGCCGCTCCGTGCCGTTCCTTTCACTTTCATAAACTTCCTTCTGTTTATTTATTTATTTCATTTGGGCACCTTCTCCACACTGAGTTTGAAAAGCTGTCAAGCAGCGATCCCTGTACTTGGGTTTTCTGCATTTAGGTGAGCAAATGGGGGAAGTTAGGGCTGTGAGAAAATGAAACGTTGTGCTGGAGGAAGAGAGGGTGAAGTGCGAGTTAGAAATTAGACGCGCTTTGTGTACGCCGCCCATAAAAGTTTCCTGCACCAGAACTCTGGTGCCTAATAATAGGATGGGGGGAGCCAGACAGCCTCTAACAATTGAAGGTGTGTAGCAAAGTAGCCTTGTGGCAGCAGCATTTCTGATACTGGGTCACATTTAGTTAAGGGAGATTATATTTTTCCCTGTTTGTGCTGTCTTTAGTACTGCATTATTTAGACAAACACCGCTGCAAAACTTTTTTGTCTGAAAATGATAAGTCATGTCAACAGAAACACTGAATTGAAATCAAATTTACTAAATCGTTGCAAGGAAAAAGGTCTGTCTTTCTAAAAGAGAGGTAATGTTTTGGTTTGATACTTTCCTATGCAATGTTTTAATTTCTCTTTCTGAACTAAGGATTTCTATTGAAAATTGTTAAGAATTGATTTTTAAAGGTGGGGGGAAGGAAAATCCTTAAAATATTCAAAAATGAGAGATTTTGAAGGGAGGAGATTTAAGTTTTATCAGAGGAATTTAAAGCGTTCGGGTTTTTGTTTGTTTGCTTCAGTTTTTTGCAAGCTGAATCATAATATACTTTGTCAAACAAACCAGTAAATAAGCTTTTTTCACAACTTTGCTCCCTCTGTAATTATTGCTATATTTTTTATGGAACTTAGTGTTTTATTTGTCCGAATTTGGTAAGATCAGCAAAGCCGAAATCCTGTTTACACTGTAGAGACACAAAGGAGTTACTGATACTTTCTGTCAGAGGTAGGTGCTTTGGCCAGCCAATCCTTCTACCAAGTTGTGCTGTTCAGCAGTGACTGTGCGCGGGCTGATCGCCACGCTCCGGGGGAAAGTATGGACAGATTTTGGGATGTGATTTATATACATTTTGGGCTGATATTCCTATTAACATAGCTGAAGAACTGTAAGTTTTAGCCTTTCCTCTCCAGTGTATACTTAGGCCAGTGTACAAAAGCAATCTTGTAAGTGAGGCAAATACAGACCAGAGGGTTTTTTGTTAAGAATCCAGAAACAACTGCATTTCAGCTGTACTGTAGGTGTGTAAATCGAGGTTGCCCAGCTAGTTGGTGATTCTTCTTGCTTGTCATCTAAGACACCTTCCCACTGAAGCCAGTGCAGGTTTTCCCGAGAAAAGGTAATGAAAAACAAGCTAGAAGATCAGGATTTAGGGTGGTCCCCTTGAATTAGTGTTGGAAACCAGAAACCCCAGTGTGTGCTTACACAGCACAGCATCCCTCTGGAGCCTGCAGGGTGCAGTCGCTTTAGTGGAGGTTCTAGAGCTGAGTTGAGATGACTCCTGCAGTCTGAAACTTTATTCGTGTATGCCTCCAATTCCTTCAGATAAATACCAGTGTCTGCTTCACTCTCAACAGCACACCATTTCTTTTTATTTAGTTTTTGCCAGTTGTCCCAATGAGGAGTAAGACACTCTGACCAGAGGCAACATTTTCAGGCTTCTTTCCTTTTCTCTCTTCCTTGACCAACTTAAAACCAGCTTCACTGTAACGTTTCATGCTTAGGCACGTTCATGCTCCTGAGGAAGCAATTACAGACTTTGTTGGAAGAAATCTGGTTTTGGAGTAAGTGTTACAAATGTTTAAGAATTGTGTGCTCTGCGTGCACTGTACATGATGTTCCCTGGTACTCTACACGTGCTCCAGTACTCTGAGCAGTCCTAACTGTGGGTACTGTATTTATTTGTCAGCTCATTCTGGTAACCGCCCATGAATTTAGTTGACTTGACAATCAGTAAACAGCTCCACGATAAGGCTGAAGTTTGAGAGCAATGTAAGTGGGAATTAAAAGGCTTCTTTCAAGTTTTTGGCCATTTTGATGGATTGTTGCTCAGCATCTTTATTTATAGGGAAAAAAACCCCACGCTCTTCAGACTTCTTCAACATCATCTCTGCAGAGTAGATTCTTTCATTTCAAAGATGTTGCAAGCTTACATAGTTACAAAAGACGTATTTAGCTACCTCACAAAATAAATATAGCAAAGAGGTGCTGAGAGCTGAAAGCCAGGTGCTGCAGCTAATGCCTGAAAGTGGTGCTCTGGGCTGGGCAGAGGAGGACAGG